AGGATCAACAACTGTGCCAAGTTTGGAAGAAATTGGTGTAGCGGTTACCAAGATATACACATGTAACCATAAGTGGGCGTGGCTACGCCCATTTGCCAAAATTTTTTAATATACTTATTTTTCGTCTAAAACTTATTGCAAATATCAATTTTGAGTGAATTATCTTCAGTAGTTACTAAAACATCGCAGTTTTCGTTTTTCTGAATATTACCGTTATATGGGAGGTAGGCGTGGTTATTGTCCGATTTTTTAAATTTTCAGCCATTTAGTATGCTAAGGCCAACAACTGTGCCAAGTTTGGAAGAAATTGGTGCAGCGGTTACCAAGATATACACATGTAACCATAGGTGGGCGTGGCTACGCCCATTTTCCAAAAATTTATAAAATTCATGTTTTCCGTCTGAAACTCATTGTAAGTATCAATTTTGAGTGAATTATCTTCAGTAGTTACTAAAATATCGCAGTTTTCGTATTTCTTAAAATTACCGTTATATGGGAGGTAGGCGTGGTTATTGTCCGATTTCGCCCATTTTCAATACCATCCGTCCTACGCCCAAAAGAAGTTCACGTACCAAGTTTCGTTAAGATATCTCAATTTTTACTCGAGTTATCGTGTACACAGACGGACGGACGGACGGACGGACGGACAGACAGTCACCGCTTAATCGATTTCTCTTTTCATTCTGATCATTTATGTATACATTTGTCTATATCTATCTCGATTCGTTTTGCCTGTTACAAACAACCGTTATGTGAACAAAGTTATAATACCCTTGTGCACAAGTGCGCTCGGGTATAAAAACCGTACTCGTTCGTTTTTAGGCATGCCATTGTTACGAATTTCGAAAGTTCGAAAATACGATTCGGATTGCAGCATACTATTTTTACGGTTCGTAGCAAAATCCGAATACGAAAGAGTTGCAGAATAGGGGTAAAAGATAAATATACAGAAAAAGAAGAGGATGAGGATACCGATAAAAGTATAGATGAAGATAGAGGAAGAAAGATTAAAATAAAGGTAGTTGTAAAGAAACGGATATAGATAGAAGCACAGGGACTCGAAATGGGGGTCGCTTTTGTTATCGATTTTATTATCGACTTTGTTATCGATTTTGTAATCGATTTTTTGATAGATTTTGCAATCGATTTAGTTATCGGTATTTTTATCGTTTTTGTTATCGATATTTTTATCGATTTTGTTATCGATTTTGCTATCGATATTATTATCGCTTTTGTTATCGATATTTTTTCTTTGTGCGTGCCTTCGTTTTTGACTTGGATAAGTTCTTAACCACACCACGTATTCTACGTTTAAATTTGGCGGCTGTATCTCCGATTCAGCCTGCAGACCAAGACGAAGGCGCTGGACTGTTCCTTTTTATTTTAGCCTAGGTCCCCTTATTAGTATTCTTCTTCGAGTTCATGCTCGTCTTCGCATTATCTTCGTCTTCGGACTTGAGCATAAGTTAGCTAAGACTTCTGAAACAGCTGGCGAATATCCTAAATATAGTTAAGAAATTAACAAATCTCTAGCGTCTGATATTGTGATAGCTACATAAGTATTTCATGTGCCTGATGAATTAAGTCAAATTTGGTTTTTTAAATACGTGACAACGCTCCTAAATACAGCTCAGAAATAAAGCCTTTTTAAAACCCTTTTCATTTGATACCCATATTTTTAATAATTACTTTAACTTATTAAATAATTATTTTAAGTTTACGTTTTTACCAGGTGGCAACCCTCTTGCATAATCTAAATATTTAAACTAGGATATCTTACCTCCTTCGTTTCACGTAATATTTTAATATTTAATTTAACTCATGCATACTTTATTTAAATTCTTATTTTGAAACAGTTGGGAACCCTATTCAAAATATTTTCAAACCACAACCTCTTTCGTCTGACATCCATATCAGAATATACATATCAATTTTCTGCCTTTATTTAAGTCGAACTTGCTTTTTGAAACAGGTGGCAACCCTCATACATATTTTTAATTAAGAAATAAAGCTTTTTCAATACCATTCCGATCGATACTCATAGTGTAATAATTGTTTCAACTTAAAAATAATTTGAATTAAACTCTTTTATCAGGTGTAACTCTTTTTGAAAATATAAGCTATTGCACATCTACAGGCCAAGCCCTTTAATTTGATAACTTATTTTGTAAAATCGAACTAACATTACAGATCTGATGATATGACTAAAAAGCTTTCGCGTATTATGCATACATATATATGTATATACCGTGGAATCTCCCATAAGCGGACACTGAAGGACCAGCATCTCCGTCCGGTTAACGGAGCCGTCCGCTTAATAGATTGTCCTTAACAAATATTAAAACGTACATACATAATTACATATAAAGAAAGAAAATTAAAATAAAGGACATATTTTATTGATTAATGTTGAAATAAATACACATTCACATATTTACATATACCATTTTTTACTGAATATTTAATTATTTTTAAAAAAATTTGTAATTGCTGTTTGACGTTTATTAGCTTCTTGTTGGTTTAGGAAGTTCAGATTGGAAAACGGATTCAATATTTTTAAGTTGCTCAAAGACCCCGTAGTTATTTCTTGCGAATTGTTGTAAGTTCTTTAAAGCCACTATAGCCTCACCATACGTTTGGATACCTCCAGGG